TTCACTGTGAACAACAGAATTTACGTCATTTTTTTAGATCAGCTGCCAATTTGAGATGATCGGATTGATCAGGCTTACTAACGAGGTAGGATTAAATGACAGTGTAGTCAGCAAAGATAACAAGTTGAAGACTACTGACTTCAGAACACCGAAGATGGTGGTGTGCTGAAATTTAAACTTTTAGCGTCTGATGCGACTAGATTCAAATCCTAGCCTACTTTATTCAATTTTTTTTAATCCTGAAATACTGTGTGGAATTAAGCGCCAATATTCTGTGGTTGACTCAGAAATTAGTGCACATTCTATATATTTTCGCACTGATATATTAATTTATATTTAAATTAACGCGATTTTCTTTCGAAAGACGAAACGCGTAACATCATGTTTTTTTTTTAATTTTGGGATTCTGTAACTCATCATTGACAAAAATCTAATACCGAAATCAGAATAAACCTTAAAATAACCAAAGATGGCTCTCAAAAACCAGGAAAATTTTTATAAACAGAAACAAAAAAACAATGTGTTGAACTGCTATGTAATATCAGTCCTCCTATATGGCAAAAAAATGCTGGATTTCTTAATGGATGATGATAATGGTCAGACAGTTTCAAGCTAACACAAAGACAACGTTATCCCAAATAACCACATTTAGCTATATAGCACTTCAGAAGGCATCGCACCTTGCTGCATACAGGCCATAAAACGAAACAGTTGAGTTAAAGGGAAATAACTGAGACATCCGACAGAGGCATGACACGTAGAACTAGAATAATCTATCCAGGTGGACGAAAGAAAGGGTTCAGTTAGAAATAGTAACCACCTGAAGAAGGATGTACAGCGTACAGCGACCGAAACGTCGTGAATATGGCAATAAAGATGGGGACAGCATTTCGAACAATGTAAATAATGTAAACTAAAGATGTTGATATGACGCTAAACAATATCAACCGACAACAATCACATTCGTTATGCTGTTCTCGGAATAACAATAATAGGGCAACAGAAGATTAGAAAAAAACGTTGCCTGAATGAGACTCAGTTTCCTTTGCCCCATTCGGAATGGTAGAGTCAGAATTTGGCATAAACAGCATGAGAGGTGTAGAATCATCGTGGCTTGCATCAACGGTTCATGCTGGTAGCGGTGTAATGGTATGGGGGCATATTTTCTCAGTATACAATCGAAACCTTGCTACAAATAAAACACCGTTTACATACCGCTGTCTACTCAAGGATTGCGTCTGATCACGTGCCTCAATTTATGACTAAGCGGCATTTATCTGATGATGGACACTTCCAGCAAGACAATGCACCATGTCACAAATTAAAAATAGGGAGAAACTGGTTCATGGGACATGGCAGTGAGATTAAAGTGCCTTCCACCCTTTGGGGTGTGGTGATCTTTGATAGTTTCGAAACCTGATTGTGCAGACAAATAATCAAGTAGAATTGTGGAATGCTATCTTTAAGAGCATAAACCCAAATTTCGAAAGAGTGCTCCCAAAACATCATCGAATCCATGCCACACAGAAATGAGGCGGTTCTAAAAAGGAAAAGAAGGTCCAAGCCGGTATTAGAAGAGTATACGTAATAAAAGATATCAGTAAATAGGGATGTCAACCTTCCGGCAACTCCTACAACCAAGCCGATCACAAATGCAACCTTTAAATCTTGTCGGTACAGCCAAGCGGGGAGCATGTTGTCTGGGTAGCGCTAGGTTTTCATATACCATCGTCCAGAACTGAATCCTTGACAGGTTACTTCAGTCTCATTACTAAAATATTGAATTTTGACCATCTAGAGCGCTACCATTATTCCGTCGAGTACCATTGGGGTCTGGCGATTTTTTAGAGATTCGAAACCTGGATGTGCAACCAAACAACCCAGAAGAATTGCGGAATGCTGTATTTAAGGGCATAAACCCAAAAGTCGAAAGAGTGCCTCCAGAATATCATCGAATCCATGTCACGCAGAAAAGGAAAAGAAGGTCCAAGAAGTGTATACCTAATAAAGTGATAACGTAAATAGATATATCAAACTTCCGACCACACCTACAACCAAGACGATCCCAAATGCAACCTTTGGATCTTGTCGGTACAACCAAGAGGGGAGCATGTCATCTGGACAGTGATTGGCTTTCATATATGATCACCCAGACCTGCATCCTGGACATATTGAATGTTGACCATCTAGAGGGCTACCATTGTTCCGTCAAGTACCTTTGGGGCCTGGCGACATTTGAGAGATTCGAAACCTGGATGTGTAGCCAAACAACCAAGAAGAAATGCGGAATGCTGTATTTAAGGGCATAAACCCAAAAGTTGAAAGAGTGCCTCCAGAATATCGAATCCATGTCACGCAGAAATAAGACAATTCTAAAAGGAAAAGGCGGTTCAAGAAGAGTATACCTAATAACGTAAATAGATATATCAACCTTCCGGCCTCAACTACAACCAAGACGATCCCAAATGCAACGTTTGTATCTTGTCGGTACAACCAAGAGGAGAATATGAGGTCTGGGCAGCGCTTGGCTTTCTTATACCATCGTCCACAGCTGAATCCTGGAATGGTTACTTCAGACTCATTACTTAAATATTGAATTTTGACCAAACAGAGCGCTACTATTATTTCATAGAGCACCTTTTGTGTTTGAAGAAAAAAAGAGATTCGAAGCCTGGATGTGAAGTCAAATCGTCGACAAGAATTGCGGAATTCTATATTTAAGTGCATAAACCAAAATCTGAAAAGAAGACTTTCAGAATATCATCAGGTCCACGCCAAGAACAATTAAGTCGTTTCTAAAGCGAAAGTCGCCCAAATTGGTACTAGAATAGTAGACCTAATAAAGTGAGTATATTATTGCGTGAGGCTTCTGAGGAAAGAAGGTTTGGAAGATTGACACTCACAGTAGATAAGGAGCGGAAGAAGAAAACGTGAAAAAACAGTTTATGTGAACGAATTGTAACGAGTAGACAAAGAAAGGCTGTTAAAATGGAAAATGTTGCGAAGCGGAACAAAGACGGAAAGATGTGGAAAGCCATGATCGGCCAGATTTGGAAAGGTTACGGTACATCATAGAAGAAACATCAGATATGGAGTGTTTTATATACAGGGTGTCCCTAAAGTCGGAACACATAGGACATCTCATTAAATATATTATTTTACTGCAGATTAAACATGGTTTGGTCGAAGAAGAAAGAATTGGTATATTTTTCTGAGGTATACTAAAAGAGAAAGTGTACTCAGTGAAAATCCCAGATGCAACACATTTGAACGCATAAAGAGTGAATGTGCTAAAATTGACAGCAATGTGGAGTTATTGCATCAAGTTCACGTGAATCTTGAAAAGTCCATCAACCTTTGCATCACAAATGATGGAGATCATATTGATGATGTTATTTGGTAATATTCCAATTCAATAAAATTTTGTTAAAAATTTAATTTCTTGAAAATAAGTATTTTTGCCTATGTGCCCAGACATCAGGGATGCCTTGTATTTTATTCAATTCTAACTGAATAAGACATCAGCCTTTTCTTCTATTTTTGAAGAATACTCGAGCATTGTTCCTTTTATACACTAGAATTTCCCCTGTTTTGGTGCCAATATCGACACGACTGTGCTAGAGATCCATCACTTTAGGTTTAAGAAATAATTTCCCTCAAAGACATGTTTTAAGTGGGAAGAGAGTTTATTTCTTTAAAAGTAGGAAGCTAGTGTAATTTTTATTTTAAATTAGAAAGAGGCTGTAAATTATTCGGACAGATATTCTCATATTACAATCGATATCTTTCGACTGAAAGGAAATTATGTTCGATCCTTTTTCCTATGTTCTGGCCATATTTTCCCTGTGCGAATCGAGGATAATATGCAGAAATCAATAACATTCGTCCTATTGATTATCGACCAGTTCCTTCTCGGTTTAAAACCAGCAATTAAGACGAAACTGCTAAAGAAAGCTCTTGAGCATGTTTGAAAACTTTGTTTCGATTCACACACACATGTATTTAATTTTAACACCTACAGAATCATATTTGCCTATCATTCCTGTCAAGGCTCATAATGGGTGTTACAGCTATTTACTGCTATCCCCTCCCTCGTCTTGAATGAACGTTGATTGATTGGCTGATTAGCTTTGTTTATCGACACTTGTGAAAATGGTTGCTTATTGGGATGGCCAAAGAAGCATTCCAAAAGCCAGGCAGAGTATTACGAGACAGGAGGATTTCTTTAGTAACAAAATACTGAGCTGCTACGTGACGTCTTTCCTCCTTTACGGCAGCAAATGTTGGACGGTCTCCTCGAAGATGAAGAAGAGACCCGAGGCGACAGTCATGTGGTTCTACAAGAAGGGTGATAAGGATATTATGGACCGAGCGTGTGAGCAACGATGAGATTTTGGGAGAGGATACAAGCAAAAAGGAAGCTTGTATTTAACATCAGAAAGAGGAAGCTAAAATTTCTGGGACATGTAATGAGAAAAGAGGACTTGGAGAATCTGATACTCAGAGTTTGAATAGAGGGAAAGAGAGACAAACGAAAGAAACGCTTGACATACCTAACGGGCTTAAGGAAGTGGATGACAGAACATGACCAGGAAGAGATGGTAAAAGAACAAAACTTATTGAGAGCTACAATGGATAGGAAGTAGAGAACCATGATCTTCTACGTCCTGAAGGGACACGGCACATAAAAAGAAAGAAAGAAAAATGCTTGACAGTACAGGAATAAGAAGTCATGGCAAAAAGGCAACTATTCTTAAGGTTGATTTTTTACGGTTTATCACACCTTTGCAGGTTATTTAAACCCAGGAAATTTCATTTTACGAGATAATAATGCTTTAGTGATACATGTCTTAATAATTAACCCATATATTGGGCATGATAGGCTGATACATAACTTTCCCAAAGATATTAAATATAACAAACCAAATGAGAATTAGAACTCGGCTCCCCGATTAACAATTCTTAGCCATTATCTATTGCAGCTCTTGCACTTCTAAGCTAACTGCACCTGCTATTTTCAGGTGGTCACGCATCTAGTTACTAAACAGGCTCGATGTTCCTTAACTCTGGAGATCTTACGGGAACCGGTGTTTCAACGCTGTATGGCCGTGAGGCACTGAACGCCGAGAATATAACGAACGAACATAGCGAGCACGTTTTTAAAAATACGAAGAAAAAGGAAGTCATTGGAAAAAGAAGGAAAGTTATTGGCAGCAGTGTCAGCATCATTAGCTTCTTTATCTATGTTTCATGTTCCGCCAGTAATCATGGCTCTCCACAACTTCCGATATTTGTAGCTTTTAACAAACTTTGTGTTCACATTATCTCTCACTCCGCGTCGTGCCATCTTTAGGTCGGTGACACGCTTTGAACTTCTTGCATTAAATATGCTCTCTCAGTATCAAATGTTGCAACCCTTCTGTGATATTCCAAATGTCTTTTTCTGATTTTTTGTATAAGTGTTCTTTTCCCATTTCCCTTTAAATACACTTGTTTCTTACATGCTCTCTATATGGTATTCTGTAGAAAACCATTTCTTTGCCGCAAATATATTCTGAGAGTAATTGTCCAGAATTCCCTACCATATAAGAGCATCGATATTACATAATCGTTCAGCACTCTTTTCTTTGTTTCTAACGAAATTCTGCCGATTCCTAGTTCTTTGCGTCGCGATTTGAACACAAAACACAGGATGAAATAAGTACTAGTGAATAGTATCGGAATAATTAATGAAAACATTGCAGTTTAACTAAAACTAGCCAACTCTGAGATTCTAAAAAGCCGTAATAAATAAATTATTTACATGAATGGGACGTTCCGGCGTAGTCCCTTTGACGTCGCTGATTTGACGTGGTCAGATTAACACTTCGTCGTTATAGTCAAATTTGCTCTCTTTCTTTTTCTTTCGCTATCGTTTAGTAGTCAAATTATTACTTTGTCGTTATATGCTCGAATAGTCCAATTTAAGAAGAAGAAGAGTCGGAGGCATTTTTATATTATATTTCCTTCAGTGCAGTTTCATATTTTTCTGTCGTCAAAGCCCTTTTATTCAAAGTGGAAGCAATTTTTTTTTATCAAAACGTGGAAAAAACAAAGTGATACACAATGGATAAATAGTTATTTTTAACATTTTTTGAAATACAATATTTTTAATTTAATTAATAATTTACATTATTCCTTTAGCGTTTTAATAGGATCCTTAATTACCTAAATGAATAAAAAAATCATATTGAAAATTGGGTGTTTTCAATGCCTTTCTCCTTTCGGGGAGAGGGGTCGTCTCCGGTTAAAGTCAGTGACGTCTGACGCCTAAACTGTTGTGCCGAATAGTCCAATTATTTGTGTGACGCTGAATCAGCCACGCCGAATGGGCTACGCCGAATGGGCTACGCCGAATGGGCTACGCCGAAACGTATCAAACCAGTCATTCCAAAGTTTTTCACTGGTTTGCATTTTTGGAAGGAAAATTTTCTCGCGTCACACAAACTTTTATGTGATAAAAAGTACATTTAAAAATAAAAAAATAAAACAGAGTGAGAGTTAAGGTGTGGGGGGGGTAACCGCGAATTCATATTTATAAATTTATCATTGATAACTCTCTCGTCTAATTTGCGGAGCCTAGTTACTATATTCTTAATACATGATATAATTCAAAATTATCACAATGATAAAATCGATCAATAATTATTTATAACTATTTATACTGGGACTCATGCATGTAATTACAAGTAATCCATAATAATATTTTAAATTCTGAAATAATATTTATTTAGGGCATTTGAATTTTTTGAAAATATTTGATTGTCTTTCAATCATTCCGCCTCAGCTTCGGACCTATGATTTTTTACCCATTTGCCATTGGTATAACTTGACTGCTGACGGCCATTGCTAGATTTAGAATCACACACACACATACACACATATATTTGGGCACCTCGACGTTGTGTAATGGTTAGCAAGCATGTCTCGCTAGATCAGTTACGACTGAAAAGTGAGTTCGATCCTCACTAAGTGCTTCATACTTTCGGCCTTGTGTCACATCTAAGCTACGCTTAGAAAACACACACACATATATGTATATATATATATATTCAAATATGTTTTCATTTAATAACATAGACATATTGGGTCTACTTATTTTTATACTTTTCTTCCTCGCTGTCGAATCAGTTTCTTGATGTTGGGATGAATTTCATCAATCAAGGCACCGTCGGTTTTTGTAACTCAAGTATTTTAGACTTTTTCTAAGATTATTTTCAGGGTTAAATTTCAATGACAAGCAAAATCATAGTGATTTTTAAAAACATGAGCGATATAGTTATTTTATATTTTAGAAATGTATCCGTTGAAGTTATGGAATTTTTCTACAAAACAAGCGTTTCAAAATAAGAGATCTGACCAGGAATTGGTAGAAATGTAAAATGGCATTAACTGTTTGTCATATGCACTTTAATATTAAAAAAATTGTTGAGTGTTGGTTGGTTGTTTTTGATACAGAGGGTTTCGAGAATTTGAAGATTTTGTTTATTATTTTCATGGTGTAGTATATTGTTTTTTTTTAACATGCGCAGTACTAGATTGGCGGCTAGGTTCCATCAATCTACAAATGAAATAGCTCGATGTTACCGTAAGTTTTATGTTAACAGTTTCTTCTAACACACTGCTCCCTTGTAGATCTCTCTTTGAGCTTTTCATTTTCAACTCAGCTTTCATCTTCCAAAATTTAAATGCAATATCAATCGTTATCTTCTGTCTTGTTAATTCTTATTATTTTATTGTCGTCTCTCTTTAATAGTAGTTTTTTTTTCACATCTCCTGTAAGCTTTTGCGTCCTGGTGACTTTATTGACTTGCTTGGGGGAAATGATAAAAAATGTGATGTAGTTTCTATTATTTGGTACAGCTCTTTTTTTATGATTCTTTAGAATCAGGAGAGGAGTTTTACAGAAGGATGACTCTCTTTAAGACGTACAAGCTTCACCACCTTGAAAGCATTTCTAATCTTTTATCCTAGAAAGCGGTTATATACAGCTGCCAGTATAGATACTTCTGAACAAGTTTGGCGCCATCCTCATTCCAAGTAGTTAAACTTTTTGACACTTCTCAATTCCATTCTAAGAGAATAAAATGGATGATTGGTGGTTCTCATGTCGAGATATTGACTAAGATTGATTTTTTTTTTTAAATCGTATCACCCAAACAAAGCGGGAATAGCCACTAGGGGATTATAGAGATTGAGTGAGTGAGAGAGAGAGAGAGAGAGAGAGAGAGAGAGAGAGAGAGACTGGGTATGGGGAGGATTAAGGAAAGGGCCAAAGATGAACGGGATTCAAGAAGACAGAAGATGGTGATTGACGTTGCATTTAAATTTTGGAAGACTAGTTTTCAGGGAAGGAATTAAACAGAACCAAGTTCCATGGGCGGAGAAGTGTGAGAAAAGAAACTGTTGGAGTAGAAATGGCCTTTACATTTAAATATTTCGACAGAGACAGGGTGCGACCTGGATGAAAATATAGTAGCATGTTTAAGTTCATGTAGTCGGAACACTGGGGGAAAATCTGGCCATGAAAATAGCAAAGCCAGGGAAGATATATCCCCTCTGTGAGAAATTGGTTGAAGTCGTGTTGCCAAGTCAGAATTGATGACATTGCACATCATTTTCTGGATTTTATCGAGAACTTAGAGATGAACAGCAGTGATACCATATCACATATGACAACAGTATTCAATGCACAGACGAATGGTAGGTTTGTAAATGTGCAAAATGGACTGACGAGAAAAATACCTTCTGGCACGACATACTGATCAAAATTTCCTTGCAGTAGATGCATCTACTGATTCAATATAGTCATTCTACTTAAAGTCAGTTGAAAACGTGAGGCCAAGAAAGCGTAGTATTTTGCTTTCCAGGAGTCTAGAATGACCCATGCAGATGGCGGACAGGAAAGTTTCTCTATGGTGCTTAAAAGAGAAAAGTCTTGTTTTGGAGTCATTAAAATTTACATTTAATTTTTCATATAACCAATGATTGGAGGTTCTTTTCAAGAGCAGCGGCCAGGTTAACTTTGTCAGCTCTGACGGATTTGTTATTAAGACAGGAATAAATGATACTGGGATGGCCGTTAACCCCTGACTGGGGGCCCTTTTCAAGAGCAGCGGACAGGTTAACTTTGACAGCTCTGACGGATTTGTTATTGAGACAGTAGTAAATTGTAGTGTCATCTGCATAAATGACATCAAGAAGATCATTGTTGAAGATCAGAAACAGCGTAGAACCCATGATAGAGCCTTGGTGGGTACCCGCGTTCGTTCTAATAGGGTCTGGGAGCAAGCCTGTTCAGAAATGTTCAAATTTCACGACTTGATAGGAACGACTGAATTAAATCAAACAACTGTTCTGTATTACGGTAGCGCTAGAACTTACTTAGATGACCATCATACCAAACCCTGTCAAACACCTTCGAGATATTATAGAGCCCAATTCGCCGTTGTTATCAAGGACATTCATTATATGTTAATAAAACTGTGAACTTTTACAAAGCCATATTGTGACTGATGTTTTATTTTGCTTTTTCAGGCTCTTCTGGAAGTGGCACACGATCTCTTTGAGGAGCAAACCAACCCTGACGGACTGATCCTAAAAACGATGCAGCGAGCTCAAGCTCTTTTGAAATGTGAGCGTTGCTCTGTCTTCTTACGGGATGATGCAACCGAGGTAGGTATTTTCATTCTTCATATTTCTTTATTTCCACGAAGATGGTCGGTAAACAAAGAGCCAAGACAAATATTTCGGGAACCGGTTACGCATCTTTGATATAACTTGACAACCAAATTTTGAAAGCGCGAATAAATAATGTCATATAACATAATATTGTGTGAGCCTGTGTATTGTGTGCCAATATATTCACGTGCAGTAATTTTGTTTAATTCCTCATGCCCTTCTTTATTTTAGTACTGTTACAAGATCCAAGAGCCATTCAAAGTAGAGTGTTGCTAAATGAACTTGTTGAAAGTAAATAACGCTTGGCCCTGGACATGAAGTGGATAAGAATGAAGTGATCGGGGAAGCAGCATCTTGGGTGTCTATTTTAAAAATTAGAGATTCTTAAGT